TTACCCCCCCCCGTTTCCACGTGACAATAGCCCGGGAAGGAACGGTCTCAACTGACTAAGAGAGGCAGCCCCCTTCCACTTTCTCCTGTGATGGAAAATCCACGAAGAGATGGGTGTGACTGGCGATTCGCAGGTAGCTTTAGAAGGCGAAAGGAAAATTACGCGGGAGGTGTTCTCCGTATTGCACCAGACTGGGCTCCGATTGTCCATTGGTAAATAAAAGAGACTTATGTGCCCCTGTATCTCTAAATAAAAAGTCTTAGCTATTTGACATGGCAAGTTACAGGGAATTTCCCGTGTGTATTTACTCATACTTGCCTCTCGCTGAATTCAGCTGGACTTACTCCCCAGGTAACTGTGTATAGGCTCACAGCTGCGACTTAACTGTCTTACTGGGAGTAAGACACACTTAATACCAAGTAAACACGCACAGGACGTTGCGCTGCCGACTGGCAACCGGGTCGTCTTGCGCGGGGAATCGTTCCCCTTAAAACTCCGGAGGCAAAACGCACGCCACAGCAAGAGCGCTCCGGGCCGCGACCTTCTGTGGAAACTATGGAAGGGCCGGGATTTCAAGGATGCGTCCTGTGATCTGGGTGCAACAAAAACCACCGCTTCCAAGTCATTTGAGAGCTTCAGCTCAAAGGGTCTTGCGCAGGCGCGCTAAAACAGAAACACCGGCTCCTGAAAACACGCGGAACAGCCGGGGCCACTCAGGGAGGGCGCAATGGGGAAGTCAGGAGTCGGACGGGCCAATGAGCTTCCGCTGAACGTGCGTGCGCAGGCGCTCCTGGTTCCCTGAGGGGGAAAGCCAAATACACGATTCGCACGATAGAGATTTCAAGTGTAGAGCGGCTCACTGTTTTGCTGTGTCTTTTAAACCGGGATTTAAGCCGTTCCTCCCGCTCCATGGGAGCGAGCACGTCGTCTCCTCTCTGTGGTTCGGTGGCTCTCGCTGTCTCTTCACCATAGAGAGGGCGAGAGGGGCTGAAAGCGGCCGGCCGCGGGGCCTGTCGGGAAAGGAGCGTCGCGCCTTTGCGTCGCGTGCGTCGGCCGGGTGGGCAAAAGCTTCGCGGGCACCGGGAGGCTGCCGGCGGCGGGTGAGGGAAAAGGGAAAGGCGGCGTCGGGCGAGCGGGAGTCCGCCGCGACTGCGGCTTGAACGTCATGGCGGGAGGCGGCAGCGCCGGCGAGTGGTGCCTCATGGAGAGCGACCCCGGTGTCTTCACGGAGCTCATCAAGGGGTTCGGTACGGTTTCCAATGAGGGCCAGGGGACCGGGTCGGTAAGGCTGCCTCCCTCAGAGGTGGCGGAGCGGGGGGGGAAGGCGAACTAACGAGGGCGAAGGAAGCGGCTGCGGCGGGCCATCCTTGACCCTCAGGAGTGTGTCAGACTTCCCCCCGGCTTCCACCCCTGCCTCAAAGGTTTCAGTCTTTGGAGGAGAAAAGGGCCTCTAGCCATGTGCAGAGGACCTTTGTTTTACTCCTTTTTTAAAATCCTAAACGTGGTAGTTTTAACGGATGGGCAGAGGGGCTTTTATCTGTGGTGAAGAGTAGATTTGCATTTAAGTCAGTCTCAAAGCACACCTTTTAAAGTGATGGAAATTGCAAAATGTCAAACACTCCAGTGCGGTCGTTTCTTTGCAGCAGATTGGGAGGATCTAAATCTCATGATTAACAACTCTAGTTGGTGAAAGGTGTGGCATGATTTGCTCATTTGCCCCCTTATTTTTGTGGGCTTAGTGGCTAAACATTAGATGCAGGTATGAGCCAAGCTGCCCAGTAGAGCTTCACACACTAATGTTGAGGTAGGATTGTATGTATGTATGCCTGAGGACTATTTCATGTGTTATATACAGTACATGGCAGATTTGTCACCAAGCTGCATTTTTTGAAAAAGAGCTGCAGCCACTTCTCCTGATAGGACATATGTTCCTGTGCTTTGGAGTACATTTGACACATCATAGATGTATTATATGCTTAAATAATGATGATTTTTTAAAGGAACTGGAAATCTTTAAAAAGAAAACCATGTAGAGGTATAATACATCAAAAGGTTGTGAATCTGTGTCATATTTTTTTTGCTTTTTTTAAAAGGGGCTAGAAATAGCTGTGAGTCCTAAGTTTTATACTTGTATCAATGGAGTTTTGTCACTGAATGAGCAAAATAATCCGGGATGACTATATTTCAGATTATGTCTCTTACTCAAAGCTTTCCAAAATACTTGCTATAAGGCTAAGCATCCATCTGAAGGAAAAGAAGGGGTAGGACTTAACAAAATAGTATCTAAGGGATAGTGTCATTTTTTTTTGCTTTTTTTTAAAGGGGCTAGAAATAGCTGTGAGTCCTAAGTTTTATACTTGTATCAATGGAGTTTTGCCACTGAATGAGCAAAATAATCCGGGATGACTATATTTCAGATTATGTCTCTTACTCAAAGCTTTCCAAAATACTTGCTATAAGGCTAAGCATCCATCTGAAGGAAAAGAAGGGGTAGGACTTAACAAAATAGTATCTAAGGGATAAACAACAGCAGCTGCATATCTGGTAGGTATAGTGTCCTGTTACTCCAGTTCTGCAACTGGGAAAGCTAAGTCACCAGACACGTTGCCAACACACACTGGTAAAAAGGACTCTCTTTAGGGTTCTGCACTAATCCCAAAATGATTTATAATTGAATAAATCCTTCAGAGTGCTTAATGCAGATAGTTCACTTGTACACATTTCTTGATCGTATATTCTCCATCTATAACAAATACAGTATATCTCAACAAAATAACACTTAACCAGAACATCTTGACCCATTTTAGTTGGACTTTTGATTCAGAGATGTGGTTTGGTCACCTTGGTAGATTATGTATGCTGTGGAATGGATAAAGGAAGCGTAGTTCTATTATTTTTTCTGTATCTCTCAGTGGCTGCCTTTACCATTGACCGTGGCATCCTGTTGGATTGCCTAACTGCTTTGAGTATTGCAGTGGTTCAAATATTTTGTGTCAGGATGTATTCAAAAGATGGCTTTGGGGGAGCGCTGCTTAACATCGCCTTTGGTGTCTGGTTACCCTCTGAGCTCAATTCTATCACCTATCGTATTCAACATTTACATGACACCACTAAGAAAGATCATTTGAAGCTTTGAAGTGAGTTGCCACCACATACTGATGACATCCTGTCCTATCACTTCTTTTCACCAAAAATAATGGACTTCATAACATGCATGAATCCACCTCTTTCCGCTGAGCTTTCTCCCTGCTCCACACAGCAATCATGTTTAACTTCTTTGGTTCTGGTTATGACAGAACCCTTTGAAGGGTGTGGAATCACGTTGGACATGCAGGGGCGAAGTCGCGTACATGGGAGGTGGAGCGCCACCCAGCAGCAATGGAAATTAGAGCATACATTGCCTGACAAGATGAAAATGCTTCTGGTTCATGGAAGATAGGCTTGGGGATTTGAATTCAGCCTGTTCTGAAAAGGACCCAGTCACCCTTCAGTAGGTCAGGTTGATAGTCTGGGCATAGTCTTTGATTCTGTGCTATATTCCCAGGTGGCACCAGAGACAACAAGCATCTTTACATTCTGCCAGATGCATCATCTATAATCACCACCCTGAATTAAATCTACCAGACTTTGCAGAAGTCACCCATGCCTTAGTTACATTCCATTTGGATTGCTGCAATACACTCTATGGGAGGCTACTTTTGAAAAGTGTCTGGGATGAAGAGTAGGTGCAAAATGCAGCAGCTAGACTGGAAACTGGTACGTGGCATTGAGATCATAGGATTCTGATAATGAAAGACACATGCTGGTTGCCTATTGCTTGCTGAGGCTAATCAACGTACTGTAGTGGGTTTCACTTTCAATGTTCTCAACAATGTGTGGCCAAGATACAAAAGGGGCTGCCTTTTTATAAACCTGCCTACATATATAGGTGCTATTTCACTTTCAATGTTCTCAACAATGTGTGGCCAAGATACAAAAGTGGCTGCCTTTCTTATTATAAACCTGCCTACATATATAGGTGCTAAGGACTTCAGAAGTGGCCCTTTTGATAGTGCCAGCAATTACAGGGGCCTGCTTGCCAGGCACATGAGAGTGGGCTTTCTCCTGCTTGGCTGCCAGACTGTAATACACTGCCCCAGAGTGGCAGTAACCTGCTGCATTTAGGAAGGGTGTGAAACCATATCTCTTTAGATTGGCCAGTTTGGTGAGACACTTGGTATGGTGGACAAAATGTCAGAGTAGGACTTAAATGACCTGGTTACAAATCTGTTCAGTTATAGAAACTCATTAGAGGTTGGCATTGGTAAAATCTGAATTTAATCAGTTAGATTTAATTCATTTTAATGGTCTTTAAAGTCACGTTTGGTTTTATTGCAATGATTTTGTAATTTTTTAATTTAATATTACTGTTATTGTGTTGCATGGTAATTGAAAGCCACCATGAGCACTCCCTAGGAGTGGAGGAGGGGTAGAAATTTAATAAATAAATCATAATCAACAGGTGTTATTTGGCATAACTTTTCAACTACTGTAGCCCATTTTCCCACAGTTGACTATGCACCACCCCTGTAAATGCAAAACTCTTCTCTCAGTAATGCAGAAGTACGATTATCATTAAGTGATTTAGAAAACATTTCTTGCTACCAGTAATCTATTTTGGTACAAAAACAAAGCATATTACACACTAGAATGGCTGATCTCAAGTTCAGTTCTTCCTATGAATTTCTGATTAACATTCATTTTTCTTGATCTGAGGCAACTGTCTTTCTAATTCTCCAGAGCTCTGCGCGGAGGCTCCACCCCCTGTGCACATATTTCCAGCTACAAACAGGCGGGTACATGCACTCAGCTCTGTGTGCCTGCGCAATTTAGAGGGAAAGTTGATCTGAGAGTTAACTGCTCTTACCACGTGAATGCTTGCAAGCCAACCAGATATTTTTCAGATGTTGGCATCTGTTCTTCATTCAAGTCAGAAACAATCCAATGATACTTTAGGAGTTGATGAATCAGCCTTCAGGGTCCTGTCATTGCACAGGAGCTGCCCAAATGTGTTCACAGTCCTCACATTTTTCAGAAAGGCTCCTTCTATGATTAAAGAGCTTCTAGTATTTCAGATTCACAGAGATGCAAAATTCAGAACACTACCATAATAGCACTTTTCCCTTTAACTTTGTGAGAATACAGTTTTCATTACAGTCTGGATAAACAAACAGAGATGCAAAATTCAGAACACCACCATAATAGCACTTTTCCTTTTAGCTTTGTGAGAATACAGCTTTCATTACAGTCTGGATAAACATTGTAACTAATTTTGTAGTGAATTGATGCGCAGTAAGAGGGATAGTAATTGTTATTTTATTGATAGAAACAAATGCAATTTGGTTAAAAAAATATTTCTGATTTTAGTTCTTGTTTCTCCCATAAAGCTAACTTTTAAAGTAGGAATAATTACAATCAAAAATATGTTTTCTTTTTCAGGTTGTAGAGGTGCACAGGTTGAAGAAATATGGAGTTTGGAGCCAGAAAACTTTGAAAAATTAAAGTAAGTATGATTTTTAAAGAATTCTATTTCCTTTCTTACTTTTAATACCTAGTAACACAGTAGGATCTTCTTTTCCATGGGACCATTATCCACTGATTCACATATCCACAGTCTGAAAATAAAAAATATCTTTTTTAAAATCCTTTAAAAAATACTATTTTCAAATGTATTACCAGAACCAGCCACAGGACAGAGCCAGAGACTGCTGTGAATACTTGATAGTGAATGCATAGCATTGTCTCTGGTGCCCTCTTGTAGAGAGAGTTCACTATTCGTGGTTTTCAGTATCTGTGGGGGCTTGGAACCAATTCCCAGTGGATATGGGGTTTCTACTGTACTGCAATTTATTTACTTTCCTTAAAACAAGGGAGCATCCTGTGGAAAGGATTTTCTTTATTGGAGCATTTCGGGTGGTGGAAGAGTGCTCAAAGCAATTTTTATAGGTTCCTAACTCTCCTTGCAGTCCCTTATACCCTTTCCAAATTCTGATCAGGCCTTGGGGAGCCCTTGTGAACAGTATGGAAGTGCAGCTGAAGGCTTCAGGGGATGTGGCATTTGGGAGAATATGTCTCTCTTCTGTTTCTGCCTCTGTTCAACCAGCAGGACAATTCTGAACAGAATTCCGTCAGAAGGAAAATCTTAAGTCAGCCCAATAGTTTTATAATTAAACTATTAAAACTTTTGCTAGAAGTGTGAATTTGAAGAATGGATATACCTGTTATAAAGATATGCACTTTAGCTGTTATGTTGCTCAGTTACAAAGCTACATGTTCAACATAGATATGCATATATTAGGCAATAACAAGAACAGCTGGGAGCAGCATTCTACAAGTTTTTCAAAAAGTCATAGTTTTTCCTTTCACTAATGTTGTCACAGTCACTGTTATGCTAGGTAGTTCATAGTAGCTGATTTAGGTATCATGATTGTTTTCCATGTAGTAGATTTATTGAATTTGTTTCCAATAATCATTTTTAGTGTTGCAGTTTGAGATACAATGCTTCACTATTTTTCTATGTTGTTTTCTATAGACCAGTTCATGGATTGATTTTTCTGTTCAAGTGGCAACCAGGGGAAGAACCAGCAGGCTCTGTTGTTCAGGATTCCAGATTAGATACAATATTCTTTGCTAAACAGGTATAGTAAATTGGATGGATCTTTACATATAATGTAGGATAGTTTGTAATGAAAACAGCTAGCAAATAGTACAGTTCTGAAGTACTAGGGTAGAGTATAAATATAAGATCTAGAAGCCAGATAAAAATCATCATATGTAAGACTCCCAGAGGTGTTTTGTATGATACCTAATATATTGCTATAATTATTAAAACTTAAGTGTTGATCTTCTGTAATTTTAGGCAGGTGTAGTCCTCGGGTCTACAAAACCATGCAGACTTATACTGGCAAATGATCTCCTTGGTCGCAGTCCCAGTTACCTCTGAGTAAAATATACATGAGATTTCTCTGTAAGATACCTTTTTGAATTGGGAGAAAGCAAATCTTTGCAAGAAGTGTTGAAATTTTATGAAACTGGATATCCACAACTCTTCAGTATTTGCTAAATAAATGCTTATTATTGTTCTTTAAAGTTAAAATAAGGCCACAAGAAAAAAAACAGTCTTGTGTAATGCCAAGCAGCATGTGTCTTCCATTTATTTGATTTGCTAGAATTAACTGCTTCCTAGAAAGATCTAACTGTATAAATTTTTTGGACTTCACAGAAAAGAGTGGTTGCAGTACTGTATGTACCTAAATTCACCTGTTTGGGGAGAAGTGGATTTTATGTTTTAATTCATTGAAACTTGGTAGAACCTGAGATAAAATGGCACTAGAGATGGACACTTTATATTAGTATCTTGGAGATACAAATATGAACTTTGACACCATAGGTGCTGCGGGAGCCCAGTTCCCTCCCCTAGAACCAGCTGACCCGCTCACTGGGTTCCACGTAGCGCTGTGATCCTCCTTTGGCGACGACACACCAATACCGGCAGGACACCAACTGGCTCTTTCATGCCTCCCTGCACAGCGGGGAGACTCCCCATCCCACTTCCAAGCTGAAGTGGTCTGTTGCATGAGAGGGGGGACGGGGAAGGGCCAACCGGGCTCCTGCTGGAATTGGTGTGCTGCTGCCAAAGGAGGACTGCCGCACCGCACGGAACCTGGTGAGTGGACTGGCCAGTTGTAGGGGAGGGAATTGGGCCCCCACAGCACCTATGGTACCATAGTTCATATTCATATCCCTGAGATAGAAATACAAAGTATCCATCTCTAAATGGCACTATAACAATGACAAGGGCAACGGAATTTTGGCAGCAACAATAGTTTGGGCCTTCCACTGGCAATCCCATCAACTTTTTCATAGGAGATCTCTGTATTCCATTGTTCTTGCCTTTACTTATTACAGGTGCACAGAATGTGAAGTGTAGCAGCACAAACCAATATTGTCCATTCAGAGTTCTTTATGTTTCTGTTAAAAATAGATCATAACTTATTTTCCTGGGCAAACCTGAAAATAATATCTTTTGGTCGGTTCTGTTTTTATTTTGGTTTTTTTAGGAAGTTAAATTTCAGTTATTTTTCAATGGAACTGAAAAAATGTTCTGATGGGAATGAATGAGTTGGAACTACTTTTATTTAGTGGGAGTCTTTATTGCAGGCGGCTGGTGACAAAATAACCCTTACTCAAAGAAGATTGTGGTTTCTACTGGGTTACTATAAAGGTTTAGTTTTAAGAAACACTTAAAATTGGACAGGACAGGCAAGAAGCAAAGGTAAAAGGTGACAGAGAGAGATAGGAACAGAACACTGAATGCAGTTTTTCAGCAATTGTCACATAGAAATAAAGACAACTACTACAAGTGTACTCTTTCATGGATTGCTGACTTGTCGTGGCGAAGGGGCTTGAGTAATTCAGAGAAGCTATGGGCTATGCTGTGCAGGGACACCCAAGATGGGCAGGTCATAGTGGAGAGTTCTGACTAAATGCGATCCACCTGGAGCAGGAACTGGCAAGCCGCTCCAGTATCTTTGCCAAGAAAACCCCATGAAAAGAAACAAAAGATATGCTGGAAGATGACCCCTCAGGTCAGAAGGTGGCCAACATGCTACTAAGGAAGAGCAAAAGGCAAGTACAAGTAGCTCCAGAGCTAATGAAGTGGTTGGGCCAAAGCCAAAAGGACGCTCAGCTGCAGACGTGCCTGGAAGTGAAAGGAAAGTCCAGTGCTGCAGACAAAAATACTGCATAGGAACCTGGAATGTAAGATCTATGAACCTTGGTAAGCTGGATGTGGTCAAGCAGGAGATGGCAAAAATCAACATTGACATCCTGGGCATTAGTGAAGTAGGGAAATTAACAAAAGAAGCCTAAACACGTTTGTCTTAAAACAGCCTTTGATGAAAAGATTTTTCTGCCCTCTGCACCATTTGAAATATTTAAATATCTAATATTTTATTATGTGATTATTTAATTGTCATTATATTTTATGATGTTTTATATGTTGAATTTTTTTTATACTTGTAATTATATTTTTTGTTTGATTGTGTTGTGAATCACCCAAAATAGCCTGGCTAGATGGCTAGCATACTAAAGGAAGGAAGGAAGTAACTTTTAATTTGGCAGCAATACTCAAGGTTTGAAAAATTATAGTGCTATAGAAATATATCAGAAATATATCATTAGAGCTTCATCATATGTTATGGGATAGAGCTCTGCAATCCTGTGACTTCTAAAATGCAATGCTATCCATGTTTATACAAGCGTAAGTCCCTTGTAGTCAATGGTGGTTAATCCCAGGGTATTTATGGGAAGACACGCTTGATAAATGATTGATGAACTAACAGCATGAATACTTGATCCATTCATTGGTTAAGTGTAACATTCAGAATGACTCCACCTATCTTTAATTGAATTCAGTTATGCCATTTATCAGGTTCCTTAGGTGATCTTCATTAAGATACTGGTTAGATCCCGATCATCTGAGGCTTCAGCAAAGTCCCCAGACTCTGTTTTTGATTCCCAGGGTCCCCAAACTGGGAACATTGAGAAACGCTGCCATGATAGATTTGACTAGTCACGGGATACTCTGCAAAACAAACTGGTGAAGTGAAAACAAATGTAGCTTTTCTAAGAAAAGCATACAACAAAGATGGGGGTTGAGCTTTAAAAACATTACTCTTCAGGAAGGCTTTTTCAATCCAATCCTGTCTGAGCACCTCCCATCTGGTCCTCTTTATTGTGAAAATTTGTTGGTGCCATTGGCTTTTATGGTTCTGATTTGTCATTGCTGTTTCTAATGTAACACTTCTAAAATGGCAATGCTATCCATGTTTATACAAGCGTAAGTCCCTTGTAGTCAATGGTGGTTAATCCCAGGGTATTTATGGGAAGACACGCTTGATAAATGATTGATGAACTAACAGCATGAATACTTGATCCATTCATTGGTTAAGTGTAACCTAACAGCATGAGTACTTGATCCATTCATTGGTTAAGTGTAACATTCAGAATGACTCCACCTATCTTTAATTGAATTCAGTTATGCCATTTATCAGATTCCTTAGGTGATCTTCATTAAGATACTGGTTAGATCCCGATCATCTGAGGCTTCAGCAAAGTCCCCAGACTCTGTTTTTGATTCCCAGGGTCCCCAGACTAGGAACATTGAGAAACGCTGCCATGATAGATGTGACCTCTGCAAAACAAACTGGTGAGGTGAAAACAAAAGTAAAACCTTTCTAAGAAATGCATACAACAGAGATGGGGGTTGAGCTATAAAAAACACTACTCTTCAGGGAGGCTTTTCAATCCAACCCTGTCCGAGCACCTCCCATCTGGTCCTCTTTATTGTGGAAAATTTGTTGGTGCCATTGGCTTTTATGGTTTTGATTTGTTATTGCTGTTTCTGTTATATTTTAGTGTCCATAGTTTGTTTGACCTGGTTTGTAATTGT